CCTGCACAACTCTTTCTTAGGCAAATTAATGAAACAGTAGAAAAATGTCTGTGTGACGCGTTTCGTTCTTTAGGACGTCATCGGACAAAAGTAACGATTTTGTTGATTGAATCATATATGCGCAGGAAGGAGAAGGGGGATAAAGCAACGCACACTTTGGTTATAATTATACATAGACAGAAAACGCTGGAAATGTTCGAAACGCTGAAATTTTGAACATTTGAATTAATTTTTTTTTTTTTTAATTTAAAAATAAAATTGTTCAGTTATGTCTGGGTATGTGGTCCAATTAATTTCTTTATGCATTTGTGACAATAGAAAATCTGCCAAGAAAAAAAGATAATAGATTATTCTGAAAATAATGTCCAATTTTAGAATAAACTATTTGTGTTCTAATATATTATCGTAATAGTTGCACAAAACATATATTACTCATTCCTAATGATTAAAGTGATCCCTTAATTAATTTAATGACGTTCTCAATTTTAGTGCAGGGTGTTGCAATAAACTACAAAGGCCTCAAATCGAGAGATTGGATATTTTGAAGAGCGAGGTACCACCACTTAATTGCTATTGTTCCCAGGTCCACTTTGATTCATCTTGGTAGCACCTGTTAGGGTCTCAGCTATGGACAAGAAGTGAACTTCCCAAACAAAAATAAAACACTATGAAAATATAAAAATACATTTTTATAGTAAAAATACCAACAATACATTTTGATAGAAAAAAAATCAGCTATACATATTTATAGTATATAATACATTTATTTTCATAGCAAAATGACGAACAATACATTTCATCTGTAGTTGAAAGCATACCCGTATGACTGACAGCGGAGGTCCTCATTCAAGGCCAACTTCATGGTGAAAATTGCAACACCCATTTCCCGCGCCAAAGCCTACATTTCCTTGCCTGGGTCTTCCATCACTTTCACCTAGACTTGTTGGATAAATTCTGGCATACGGAGGCTAACAGAATTTCTGTTGTGTTCTTTCCTACAAGCCACGGCCTCGTAGTCTTTGTTGCAGCTCTCCATTCCACGTTTTATTCTTTGCACGGTGTTCAGAAAGTATTAAAAAGCTGTCATAATGGCGGTATTTTGAAGCACAAATCGTCAGGACACAGGTTGCCTTTTTCCAATATTTAGGTGGCTTCCACTTGTCCATGTCAGTTAACTTTGACACATCTAAAACTGTAGTGAATAGGTTTTACAATGCCGTTCACTGTTTATAGACTGTTATCTACCGTACCTCTGAACATATAATGGGTATGTCCCAATCCTCATAAATACGTTGGACACTATTGTTTGCAAGTGGGGGTAATATGCTGTCTAAATAGTTCACCACTAGCAGTGGTTTACTTACTTCACGCCGCTGGCGAGTATTGTATTTTGGTGATGTTATAAAGATTACCATTTCATTTCCAACCTCCTTTTTTGGTTATTCCTCATTCAGTAACACTATCTATCTATCTATCTATCTATCTATCTATCTCGTACATATGAACACTAATAGGTATGTCTCAATCCTCATAAATATGCTGGGGACTATTGTAAGTGGGTGGGGAGGGTAATAAGCTGTCTAATAGCCTACCAGAAGCAGTGGTTTACCTACTTCACGTCGCTGGTGAGTATTGTATTTTGTTGATGTTATAAAGATTACCATTTCATTTCCAGCCTCCGTTTTGGTCATTCCTCATTCAGTAACCCTTTCTAGGTTACAGCAATATCTATCTATCTATCTATCTATCTATCTATCTATCTATCTATCTATCTATCTATCTATCTCTCCTGTACCTATGAACACTAATGGTTATGCCCGAATCCTCATAAATACGTTGGACATTATTGCAAGTGGGGTCAATATGCTAAGTAGTCCACCACTAGCAGTGGTTTACCTAGTCGACGCCGCTGGCGAGTATTGTATTTTGTTGATGTTATAAAGATTACCATTTCATTTCCAACCTCCGTTTTGGTTATTCCTCATTCAGTAATACTTTCTAGGCTATTTAAGATGGAATGATCTATTATAAAATCTCTCTAATTTGTTGAATTATTGCATATGATTCATTATTGTACATAATTCGCTTGCAATAAAATTTGTATTTTATATGAATACTACCTTATGAAAATTGAGATGATGTAGAGAGGGAGCCCCATATCATAGATTCGGAGTGGGTGTATCATAGATTTGCAAGAGACACTTGCACTGGTCCTGTTGTCGAGTATGACCAGTCTCGTGATATTATAAGTCGTAGTTGTGTTTTGAAAGTATAAACCCCCGTTTAAAAATGACCAACATTTAAAACCTGTTGCAAAAAGAAGAGATTCACAAGACAAATATATTTTTTATTACCAGGTATATATTTTTGTGAATGTTTGCATATATATATATATATATATATATATATATATATATATATATATATATATATATATATTTGAATCGTCACTTATTTAGATTTTAACTTTTTTTATATATATGTACATATGTGTATATCTCTGTGTGTGTGTATATTTGTATATGTATGTATGTGTATATGTGTGTATGTATGTAAGTGTGTATATATGTACGTATGGAGGTGTTTATGTATGTATATGTATAGGTGTGTATGTGTACTTATGTGTATACATGTTTATGTGTGTGTGTGTGTGTGTGTGTATATATACATGTGTAAGGGTGTGTATGTATTTGCATGTGTGTATATATACATGTGTGTAAGTGTGTATGTATTTGCATGTGTATATATATGCATGTGTAAGGGTGTGTATGTATTTGCATGTGTATGTATATACATATGTAAGGGTGTGTATGTATTTGCATGTGTATATGTATGTGTATATGTGTGTGTATATGTATGTATGTGTGTATATATGTATGTATGTGTGTATATGCATGTGTGTATGTGTATGTGCGTGGATGTATGGGTATATGTGTGTGTGTGTATATATATATATATGTATGTATATGTATATATATATATGTATAGGTATATATATATGTATGTGTGTATGTATGTATATGTATATGTATGTGTATGTATAAGTATGTATGTATGTATGAATGTATACATGGGGCATATGTATGCGTGTATATGTATGTGAAAAGTGTGTGTATATGAATATAGATGAATATGTGTATGTGTGGATATGTGAATATATTTTTAGGTTTTTATATATATATATATATATATATTTGTGTATATATATATATATATATATATATATATGTATGTGTGTATGTATGTGCATGTGTATGTACACGTATGTCTGGGTGTGTGTGTGAGTACATGCCTAAGTGTATGTACCTACTTGTATATGTTTTTTTTTGTGTGTATTAGTATGTGTTTTTGAACATAGAAATATTTGGTCCTTGCGAAATGAGACAATCGTTATATTCATCTTCATATATTTATATTTGATTTATAACCTGTAGTCTATACTAATTTTCCCAATTACAAAGCGGCCCTTTAAGTAAACACAATTTTATTTTCCTTCGTCCCATCTCTCTCCCCCACCCTTTTTTTATTTTTTTTTTTTTCCCTTCCTATCCGAATTGTCTGTGGTGTGTATATGTCACCACGAAATGTATCTTTATGTATTAGACATCGGTCGACTTTCTTTTCTCCTCTTTTAAATCCACCCCACCCACGTCTCCAAAAATTCTCTCTGTCACTCATCCTCATACTTACACTTTCTCTAAATTCTGTTTTGATTTCCGGAGTTGTTTTTTTTTCTGTTTTCATTTTGAATTTGTAGGTCTGATGATTTGGATCGTATTTACGATTCCAATGGAATACATTATGACCATGGAATATTAGTGTTTAAGCCTTTTTATTATATCCTTACTCTGTCTTAGACATTGAGTTCTACCTGGATCCTTCCTCTTGGAAATTTTTTTTCTGAAAATATACATGTATGGGAATTTTTTATATATATTTTGCATATGTATGTATATTTTCCACTAATATTATCTATATATATATATATATATATATATATATATAAAAAATGCATAAATTGCGAAATAAATTTAGAGGTGTGTGCTTGTAAAATTGCTTTTTGTAAGGTACATAATAGGTAATATTTTTTACAGAGGACGGAAAATATTGTGCCGAAATCCGAAGACGCTTTGGAATAGTGAAAGATGACTTTCGGAAGCTAAGAAAAGAATTAAGAAACAGCAAAATCTTGTTAGAAACAAACAAAATAATACTGAAATGTTATGCAATACCGACCCTCAAATATAGCAGTGAACGCTCTATGGTCTCCTTACAGATGAAGAAGAGACTTGAGTCAACAGAAATGTGGCTCTACAGAAGGATGCTGAGAATTCCATGTGAGCAACAACGAAATTTTAAGGAAAACTAGAAGGAAAACTTATATACTTAGAATTAGATACACACAATTGAAATTATTAAGGCACACAATGAGGAAAGATGGCCAGGAAAATCTGACACTCAGAAGGCATATTGAAGACAAGAGAGATAAAGGAAACCAGCTCATATCCTACCTAACGAGCTTGTGTAAATAGATGACAGAAGGATTAGGAGGGAATTTGCACAAAAAGGGAAGGATTAGGAGAGAATTTGCACAAAAAGGGAACGCAATGGACTAACCCAGAATTTGAACTCGCATCACCTATTCCGCTTTGATATCCATTACACTACCCGCACATCCATCAGCAATATAAGTCATAAATATCTATTTAAATCATGCATTTGTGTCTAAATTGGTGCACTGTACTGAGATGACCATTTTGCATCTTCTATAGACCCATCCTGTGTTATTTTAGTATCTGCCCGAATAATGGTGTCGCTAACACAAAGGAACGAGGCCTTTTGGCGCCAGCAAGCGGAGTGCTCCTAGAAAAGTTAACGATTTATAACGATTCAGACAACAGGAGGCCGACGCGAATAAAGTTCTCTATTACTGTCGGCATAGCGACGTAAACTACAAAAAAGTTGACTTATCGAAGTATGTTTTCAATAGCGGTGGGGCTTACAACCATATCACGTTAAAACACCGGCTCTCGTACGATCACCGAAGTTAAGCAACGTCGATTCTGGTTAGTACCTAGATGGGTGACCGCTTGGTAATACCTGGTGTTGTACGCTTGGATATGCGGGTGGTACAATAGGCTTACGGGCACATCACTTTGAAACACCGGTTTTAGAACGATCACCGAAGTTAAGCAACGTCGAGCCTGGTTAGTACCTAGATGGGTGACCGCTTGGTAATACCTGGTGTTGTACGCTTCGATATGTTGATAGGCTTACGGTCACATCACGTTGAAACACCGGTGTTCGTACGATCACCGAAGTTAAGCAACGTCGAACCTGGTCAGTACCTAGATGGGAGACCGCTTGGTAATACCAGGTGTTGTATGCTTGGATATGCGGGTGGTACAATATGCTTACGGGCACATCACTTTGAAACACCGGTTTTCGTAAGATCACCGAAGTTAAGCAATGTCGAACCTGGTCAGTACCTAGAGAGGTAACTGCTTGGGAATACTAGGTGCTGTTACCTTGGATGTATATGTGATATAACGGAATTGGAAATCGAAGAGGCCGTTGTTATATTCATTTAGGCGCAAATACCCATGGATAATGTATGAAACCAACTCTTCTTCCTCCCCCCATCACAGCTATTCTATTCCCCTCCATTTAATTAGGATTTGTATCAGTAAATCATTATTATCTCCTCAAAATTATTAAAATCTAAAAATATTGACTGTCTTTAAATCAGCTGCAAGCGATTGGTTGATAAGCCGTAAAAGAAGTCAGTCAATCAATCGTGTTTGGTTTATACATTATGTAATTGTAGGACAAAATATAGTTACATACTTCAAAAATCACCATCGATTTTTAGTATTTTTTTTTTTGAAGAAAAGTCAACTAAAAAGATATTTATGATGGTCGAAGGCGCGTGTGTGTATATCCGCATCCGTATGCATGTATTTGTCTTTGTAATATATATATATATATATATATATATATATATATATATATATATATATATATATATATATATATATATATATTTTTTTTTTTAATTTAATTTTTCGTTTCATTTCATTTTTGGAAGTGCTATCTGATGATCCGAGATCCTTTAAAATGACTCTGGTGAAATAAATTATTATAATGGTACATTAAAGTGGTCTGTTTTTCTTTTAAATATATATATATATATATATATACAGAATATATCTATATGTATATATATATATATATATATACACAGAATATATATATATATATATATATATATATATATATATATATATATACACACAGAAAAGAGAAAAGAGAGAGTTTGGACTCGTTGAGCCACGGAGAACTTGTTTGATCAAATACGTAACTGATTGTATTCGAGTCAAGATAAAATCTGAGGTATCTAATAATAATGTTCAAAACATGACGGCAGGCAGAGTTACCTTTCAATCACTCTGGCCCATTCTTTGTATCTATGTGTCTATCTATTAGGTGTAAAGAGTTTAAGCCTGATAAAAATCACCAGACCACATAAAACAAATAATAAAAGACACACACACACACACACACACACACACACACACACACACACACACACACACACACACACACACACACACACACACACACACACACACACACAAATATATGAAAGCAATTTTTATATATATCTCACATAGGTAAAAATATGGTATAAAGAAAGTACAACTGGTGTCTTTAAAAATATTTAAATTATTATTTTACATATTTAATTTAAAATGATTTTATATATTTAAAATGATTTTAAGCACTTTAGTTGCATTTTCAACTTCTTTTCTATATATATATATATATATATATATATATATATATATATAATGTTACACTTAATTTAACTATATTAATAGTAAAATTCATTGTGACAGGTGCATTCCAACAGTAACGCCTCTGATCTGGAGGATTTGAGGAGCGTGGAACCACCTCTTAATTGCTGGTGTTCTCTTCTCCACCATGACCCGGGGTGGTAGCACCTGTTAGGGTCCCAGTATCGGGTGAAAACATTATGAAAGTGTAAAAATGAAATGATATTATATGAAAAGATTACTTAACTTTTTAAATATCAATTTTTATCCCGACATCGATGTTACTTTGTAAAATTTTCAGTTATCAGGAATTTCCAAATTTTTTTTTCACTTTGTTCCGCTTCAATTTCAATCCGCGTTTACTGAAAAAGCTTCGGAACAAATTGAAAAAAATGAAAAATTTTAAAATTCCGTTCAAAATCACCCCCCCACCCCCGATGACTGCGATTTTACTAAGAAACGTCGATGTCGGGATAAAAATTAATATTTAAAAAATTAAGTAATCTTTTCATATAATATCATTAACGCTGTATTTTTAATATTATTTTAATATTTTTAATATTGAGCACTAAATATAAAGTATCTGCTGTTTCTCAAATCTTAAATATATATATATATATATATATATATATATATATATATATATATATATATATATATTGTATGAAAACCCTTAATAGGTATGTGATGATTTTTTAGATGTTGTAAGAGGGTCAAGCCGAAAACATTTCAGCATGCCATGTATATCGTAACTTGATGTGGCACAAGGCCGGATGTATGGAGCACTCAGTAATGATCGAAGTGACTATTGAATTGTAACTGATCTAACTAAACAAGGTTGCTAAGAATTGCATCACACTGAAGTGCTCGATAAATTTTCTCTCCCCACCACTCTCTTTCTTTCTTTCTTTCTTTCTTTCTTTCTTTCTTTCTTTCTTTCTGTCTGTCTGTCTCTCTCTCTCTCTCCCTCTGTCTCTCTGTATATATATATATATATATATATATATATATATATATATATATATATATATATATATGTGATAAAATATAGTTTTAAGGTATGCTACATTTAAGAGCTTGATATCATGGATAGAGCGTATGTAAATACACACACACAGACACACACACACACACACACACACACATGCACATATACATATATATACATTTAAGGATAGCTCTAGTTGTCTGAAATCGTGTGAGCGTGAAACTCGAGTGTCAACTAGAGCCTTCCTTCCATAGGATTTAACGTCGGTAAGCGTTGTTTTGCTCGGTCTAGGCAGTCGAGGCTTGATCTGGGTAAGAGTTCTATGTTTTTGCATGTTGTACGTTGGTTTCATCAACGTTTTTTTTTTATTTAATATATATATATATATATATATATATATATATATATACACACACACACACACGGTGCGATGGATAAATTGGCGTTTTATATATAATCATTGAAATGAGTGAATGTTTTCACTTACTTGTTTAATAGGTCGTAGATGTTCTCAGTGTAATTAGAGTGAATGAAAACGCTTGACAAATATCTTTTAAAAGATCCAAGTCGTTTTAAAGGTAATCATAGGTTTGATTGAACGTTCAATCCGTTAGTAGTTCTTTGACGTTTGATATGCAATCATCTTCATACAAATCAATATACGTAGAGCCCCATGCAGGCAAATTTACACGCTATAAATTAATATAAACATACATACAGGGTGCGATGGGTAAAAATGAAAATAACACTGACATCTCATTTTAACAGATATATTTACAAAAATTACGCAAACAATATCTTGAAATACTAGATAGTAAATTTATTTAATTAAATCAACATTGGCTTCAGCCACGGCCTCCAGACGACTTCCGAATCTCCTGCAACTCTTTTGAACGGTCTCCTTGTTTAAGTTGGTGAATACTGCATTAATTCTTGCCTTCAGTTCACCTTTTGGTGGTACAAGGAGTTTTGTAGGTGTTACAAGTAGTCCTGTAACCAGACTTAAGGACTTCTAACAGCCACCCTCTTGATCCAGGGCAGTACTACTTTCTCAGGGCAAAAAATTCGGAAGTTCTTTTGTTATCAGAACGATCTGAGTGAGTTTTTCGAACAGACGCACTTTCGTAATCACCATGACACTCATCCAACTCTTTTTGAAATCCTCTGCACTATCCTCAGATTGACACCCAAACATTTTGAAATGTTCATATTGGTGCTTCCGTTGCGAATGCCAAGCAGTACAGCATGCCTTTCCAAATTTCTAGCGGAGTGAATTGCGTCATGGTGCTCATTTTCCCAAGTAACCTGTGCAGTTGAAAAAATCAAAAACAAACAACGCGCATGCGCGAAATTGGAAATATAATTTGGTGACAGTTTACTCATCGCCCCCTGTATATGCGCGAGTGTTTGATGTGTGTATGTTTATTGGCAAAACTTATACATATATGATTATATGATGTGTACATATTTATTTAGTTCATATATACAGGAACATATTTTATATATATATATATATATATATATATATATATATATATATATATATATATATATATATATATATATATATATATATATATATATATATATATATATATATATATATATATATATATATATATATATATATATATTATATATGTATATATTATTTATATATAAATTCTGAATTTATTTAATTATACCTTGCTATTTCAAAATAATCCCTGGGAAATATACTTAGAAAATTAGGCAAATATAATTTAACAGTCATGAACAGGATGTTAGAAATTTTAGGAAAGTGTTTCATATTATATTTTCATGTATTCAATATATTTTCATAATTAGATTTATTAGATTAGCAAACTTTATGACATTTGTAGCCTTATATATAGGATCACAAACTCACATCTATCCAACCAAATATATATATATATATACACTATTGTTCTCTCCCGTCGATTTCGACGTATGAGGATCAAGCAAGTGAATTCCTAGAACTCTACTGCCATACTACTCATACAAATACTTTGATTATAGTGGTGAAGGATTGTGAAAATACAGAGAATTGGTGCACAATATGCCACAGGATCCCCAAACAACCCTCCGCAGGTTTTGAATTTACCGCTGTCCTTGTCATAAGCCGGTTGTTACGCAAGGCTATAGAACCCAGTCGGTCCTGCTATATACATATATTAGGAAAATTAATGACAATGTGTAAAAGACTTTTCGCGTGGCGCGTTTCATCCTTTAGGACTCCATCTAATCAAAGGGATGTTTATGTTAATGTAACTACCCATGGATAAGAAGTTGTGAGGATGTTAAAATTTTAAATTTAATCTTTCTTTTAATATGTGGATACATCATCTAGCCACTTTCATTTAATTTCTTTTTGTTTATATTTTTTATCACTTTTGTTATTAATTATCCCACATTCTGATAATAGAAGATCTGTTGAAATATTATAAGAACCTGAACGCAAATTTGCTGTGAGATGATCTGGCAATTAAAGCACTTTCTATACACTTTCATCTTAGTAAATTGTTTTCTCTTTTAATTAGAGTAGCCTTTTTTTAAAATAAAAACTGAGGTCGATCTCGTTACGGTGAGCAACCAATGCTTTTATGGAATTGTTTTGTGTAAGATCCTTTTTTGTTCATATTTTAATTAAATTCTTTGAGGTTTCGTCTATGTATTCCATGTAGCAGTTATTACAGGTAATA